CTTCCTTTCGAGAGGTATCAGTGGCCGTGGCTGTGAAAGATAACCTGTTGTGCAATCTGATACAGTGCACAGACTTTTAGTCTAACCATGAGAACAAGCAGTCTGATCCGTCTACTTTTGTGGATTGAATCCTAGCTTCAGGTATTCAGTGAGGGGAAGGAGGCACGTTATTGAACAGTTGGTGGAAGGAGGTAGAGTGGTTGAGTCACCATCACCGATGTACTTTGAACCCGAGGTTCGAAACCCACCAACACCACCCACCTTTGGCGATAGGCAGTTTTGCTTTTGTCCGATTGTATACCACGCCTAACCTAGCAGAGCCGTATGTAGTTAGCCACTTTAAGTTCCGTGGCTTAGCTTGCGGGTTTCCATTACTGAACGGTAGGTCCTCGTGACACACACGCACACACACACAAAGCGTGTGTGATACAAAAAAGTTTAAAAAAACGACAACAACGAACTCCTCTCATCAAAACCAAATTCTTTGGGCGTCTCGTTTAACTTATCGACGGTGAGAACATCTTACCTGGCCAGAACGTTCTGTCTTCGCACCGTTCGAATTTGCGGATTCGGTGAATAAATGAATGTGAATTGCCGGATCGGGAAAGTCGCGGTCTGATCATGCATCAGGACCAGAGACATGGGAACAAGCGGGGCAGTCGGATTCGAGTTGATGGACTCGTCCAAACGCATTGTGGATAGGTCAGCTATTGAGTCAGCGTTCGATGGGACAGCCAGTTTGCGTACACGTTTCACGGCAGACTTAGCGGCTCGAGATGATGCGATTGCCGCGGTAAGGTTTGATGGCAAGGCACCCGTACGGCACACAATCAGTTCGGGTGTTTCGCTATGTGGAATGGGATGTGGAAATGAACCAACCGCATTTTGCCGTAATCCAAAGCATGAAACATGAGTGACGAAAAAGCGATAGAATCACCTTAAACGAGATTGTTCATTACTCTGTTTTCTTACAATCTCTAATTATCGTATATTAGGACAATAGAAAGCTATAAGCTCCACATTGGAAGCTATAGCTACAAGACCTGGATATTAGTAAACGGTTTCGAATGAAAATCAGACAAAAAAGACGGCATTTTCAAACGAAATCCCTAAATAATTCCGTGAAATCACTCTTGGATGCAGGACAGCAATTAACGAAATGCACGGTCCTTATATATTTAACTACCAGTCGGCAACAGTCACATTTTTAGTAATGTATATTTTAGAAATCAAAACAACGATCTTCGTTGTGACACCAAGATCATGTTAGTTATCAGGGCAATACCAATTTGTGCTGCTCGGTCGTCCAGGACAGATGGGGGGGGGGATTATCTAACGTAACAAGGGAGTGAACCGATACTCCTGGTCCGTAAGCTACCAAGTTTTGTTGGCCAATCCTTCTGCCTATCATTTTCACCATAATGAATTGATTCCGCTGTTTAATCGAATCGTTCAGGGAGTAATTAGTCGAGCCGCAATTAGTTCGCGCGCCTCACATCAATAACTAATTCAAGTCGAGGTTTTACTAGCCTCTCCCGGGGCGAACTAGTTGTCAGTGGGTCTTCAACTCGGCTCNCTTCAGGCAAACACCCTGGCCACGAAGTGGCGATTATGTGGCACTTCACAACAGATACATCAACGCATGTCGAGATAATGGATAGAGGGAACGGGGCAATCCGTTTATCAAAACTTCCTTCCTCTTAGTGTATTGGCCCGAATACCCAACAAAGACGAAGAGAACTCAATCTGTTATTGTGTAATTTGAAAACCGGACGAAAAATCACCGCGGGAGAGGAAGTGAATTATGATGATGTGCAGAAATCTACGCCGGTGATGTGCAATTTGCAACTACAGTAGTAAAACTGGGAACGCGACTTGGGTCTTTTGAGAATCTGACTATGGGGTGGCTTGGAACTCCTAAGACTAGGACAAAGAACTAAAGACGGGAAAGAGGTTTTCCAAATGTGTGCCTCTTGATTTACCGGTATACATAGCATTGAGCGGAATGAACGTATAACATAGCTTAATGGGACTCATGCCATCTCGTTTCAGATCAGCTTGCCTCGCAAGGCGATGGGAAGGAAATAGTGCAGACCTACAAAAGCACATTGTGTAAGTGTTGTTTAGATGGCTGGTGTTGGTGGTGGCGATGAATTAGGTAATATCATCATCCCACGGCCTCCATAGACCAAGCTGTCCCCTGTTGTTTGTACCCAGATAGCGCTTTAACGGCGATAGAGCTGCCTGAATATGATCGTACAATTGTACTCAGTGAAAGGAAGTAAACGGATGTTACATATGTTCTTGGAATGGACCGAACAGGAACAACCGAATGTGTGCCAGTTCAGCCCAGCTCGCAATGCCTTACCTTTCAATGACACAGGCCACAGATATGGAACGACTGGCTAACGCATCCAAATTAATCCTCTGCTCACTCGTCTCATCTCCGGTCGGGATCAGCCAGACCGTTCGATGCGCACCAATATTCAAATTGTCCCCGTGCAATTTGAGCCGCGTCCCACCAGCTATGGGACCGCGTTCCGGATGCACCTCGTACAATCGCGGAGAGAGGAAATGAAATACGGGCGAGAATGCCTGTACAAAGAGAAAAGAGCAAGTATTGTGACACGGATGGATAAGGAGGATCCGATAAGCAGACAGTCAGAGTGAGCGAGCGAGCGAGCGAGAGCGAAACACCGGTATTGGTGGGAACATAATGATCATCAACATTAAATCAGGTAGAAGTAGATAAGCTGCCAGAAAACACGAATTAGCTGTATTCTTTGTTAGTCCTACTCTCCTGCAGACGCAGACTGGCAGGTTGGTTATATCTTACATATTACCATCCCACCCTTCGATTCTACCGATCGTTGATTAAATTTCCCACATCCGTAAGCTTCCTTCTCAAATCATACCGAATAATTTGTCCACAGAAAGATTACCATAAAAACTGATATTGTCAATGACAAAGAGAACTGTGCACACCTTAGGACACAGTATAACAAGTATCGTTCTGTGAAGCAAAGAAAACTTGATTCCTGTCGCGTACTGATTTCATTCGTTTAAAGGATGCTAAGTTCGATCCAAGAGGTTTTTGTTTAAATCTAATGACCCTAATCTGACATGAACCCTGTACGTTTTACAGCATTTCTCTGTGGCTGTCCCCGTGAAAAATCATAAGTTTCATTTTACATGCTACGCTCGAGCAACCACCTGTTCGAATCCTTCAAACAAAGGCGTACAGGTAGGCATAGTGATCCATCATAGTGTCGGCAAATTTTGGAACGTCCTGTCCCGGATTTGACGAGAACAAGACGCAACCATGGCAACGAAACGAAATAGCCTATCACTATTCTCATGAAAGAAAGTATTTTGATGTTATTCACACCAGATTGATTAGTTGGGGGAAAATAATGTACGATTTCGCAAATCACCCGTTTAATTTGATCTGATTGGACCGCTCAACCAAGAAAATGTGACTAAAATAGACGTTACAAGAATATTGTGATCAGTTTACTTGATATCGCTTTGCTGACGTGTCCGATGGCAATGAATGAACACGGAAATTGAACCAATATCTTAAATTCAGTTTTTTTAACCTCTTTTATCTGATGATGCTAAGAATAGCTACCGTCAACCGGTAAGCTGAATAATGACATATTCGTAACCTGAACTATGATAGTGTGGTTCGAATATGTGATTGCCTCACCCATATGCCGTTCACTCAGGACATGTTTTGCTCAACTGAACCTCCACCTGCTACTTGGACAACCGAGTAAATACAAAACTGATATCAACACCACCAACACCTCTACCCTGTAGTAAGATATATTTCTTTAGATCATATATCGATGGTACTATCTTGCTTGTTTCACGTTTTGAACATCATAAATAACTGCATACAGATAATGGATGGCTACTCATCGGTTCGGATCACATGCGCTTCGTGCATTCCCATTTTTGTGGAGTCCGAATACTGATTGACGCACATGGACAAGGATAAAACAATCAAACAAGGAGAGACAAAGAACTAGAGATGGAAATGTCAGCAACAACAACAACAACTTGCCCTGGATAACACAAACCTGATACTTGTACCGGCTGACCACAACTTTCAAACTGCCCTGGGCGGGTAGAGTGAAATGGGCGGCCGAGTCCAGTTGACAAGTGAACACACGTGAACTGAAGTACGCATTGGTCTGGACGTGGCAAGCTACAGGTTGCGGTCCCTCCAATTCCACGTGACCGACCAGATCCGAAACCGTGTGTCCCAAATTGATACCTCGAACGTGTAATATCGGGCGTCCGGTTAAGGTAGCATTGAGTGGGTAAATCTGTTGATCAAAACCGATTGGCATTTTGATAACTGAATTTGTTCTCACTTTACTTTACTTTAGTGTAATGAAAATTGCAGTGTTATAACAGCAATACAAGTAGTACCTAATAGCAAACAGAGCTGTATGCTACCGGGTTCATCGAAGAGAAAGGATCAGCCACCACTGTACTGTTTAACCATGAATACGGTGAGTCTGGGTTCATTGAATGAACGGTCGCGGCGGTAATGCCCGAGGACGCTATGACTTTTCGCTCGACTAGCATTCTACATTGCATATGCCTACATAAAGTACTGTGACGTGGCGATTGCAGCTTGCCATTAAATGAGGTCACTGTTCCCGTCACGTTCCTTCTACCGGTTATTATATTCCGGAAGAGGTGGATGAACCGCATAGCAGGACACCGGCCCGTCAGGAATTATGGTTCTGGATGGCCGGTTGCACTTGGGTAAGCAAAGATGGGAGGTGAAACCTCAGGAGAGGTGCCGTCAGTTCACCTTCACTTCCGGCTTTGACAAATGAGCCGTGCAACAGGATCGAACGGTGCTGGGGAATCGTCATGGATATTAGCAAAATCATTAGCTCTCGTCATTCGATGGCGTCCTTAGGACACGACCCGTTTCGTGTCAATGCAGACAAGGTGACAAATTAGTGAGTAGTTTCCAAAAGTAAAAAAAACAACACAAATAGGTTGTTGGGAGGAACGAACAAGATTAGCTGATGGTATCACAACGCGGACGCTACCAGACCTATGTCATAGTTAGGAATTGTCAGATTACGTATCCTGTTTAGGTTCATATCACGGGATGAAACAATCTGGACTGATTGGGGCACACCCATTCTGCTGCTCATCTCCAATAAACGGGACAAATTTGTGTATCAGAACAATCGACGGATCAGTTTTTGATCGACGTTACTGCAGAGAGATATTCCTTTGTGTTTTGTTGCTCGAACGCTTCTCCGTTGTCATAAGTAGACGTACACTATCGACCTTTGGACAAATCAAGCTGGATGTTTGGGCTCGTTTTCGTCATGCAGCTATGTGCCCTGTACTCACCTACGGATACGAAATCCGGGTCCTGCTAACCAAGGAACCCAAGGTGGGAAACATTCGACATCTGATGCCAACATAAAAGCCGAGAAGTTAGATGATGCCAGAGTGTCCAAAGAAGAAGTAAGGAGATGCTACTACGGTATGGAATAACCAATCGTCCTTTTTCCGGAAAGTCACCGGTTGCGATTGTACTACGTTCATACCCTACCGCGCCCTGAAATTGGGCATATCAAACACACTCAATCGCGATCCTTGCAAGGGTTGATGCTATCGTGCTGGTGTACAGCTAAAAAAAGTAGATCAACGTTGATGAAAAACATGCCGAGTTTCTCCAATCGTCGGAGGGGTTAGGCAAGGGGAGAGAAACTTGATCACGATGTATGAAGATTACCAGAGCTATGCGTAGAAACGCTTCGAAAATAGGTAAACACAAATGGTAAATAATACATCATAATGATAACAATAATATAAGGCCATGAACGAACAGCGTGAATTTGAAAACGTCACGTAAATTGGTGCCGCTTCATCTAAACTCATAAAACATTAGTGTAGGCGACGAGAATAAGAAATTTCCGACCGAAGGTACAGAAATTCAGTGGAGTATCTGTGAATATCCGGACGAGTTAAACACATCACAAAAAGACACTATTCCTACTCCCGAAATTTGTTCATGCTAACAAAGTCACCATAAAAAACATCTCGCACAAATATTAGCCCATCACCGTTTTCATCGAGAGATATCACACAAGCACAAACAGAATGTGAAAACAAAGTGACAAACAAGCGCCTATTCGGTGTTTCACAGCTAAACACAGCACCATTGCGCTTAAGCCACTAAAATATCGCACATCTGGAACAAACGAAATACGCTATCTTGTTCAGACTGGAAAGTTTTATTCGAACACCAGACAAAATCAGTAGTCCAAGGAAAATCGGTGTGCGAAAAATCTGAATCGATCTGAATTCAACAAAATCAAATGATCACATTTAGATGAAATATATCTTCAAGTTGATTAAAATAGGATGAAAAAAGTAAGTAGATATCCGAATGTGATGAGTACACTTTTGTAAGGATTTCCGGAACAATACATTATTCATATTCATGCAATGGAAATGTTTGTCACAACCGACAAAGAGCACTGGACAACTGTTACATCCTGTTTGGGACTCATCAGCAGTGTGTACTTTTTTGGGTGTCATTATCTGGACTCGAACCGCGAACTTTCGGGTTGGGACTTCAAACCATTACCCCTGAGCTAGGGTCATTACCTTGTGCGAATGGCTCAAGCAATTTTAGATTTTTCTGATGCTTCTACTTTTTTTATTTTACTGTCACTAGAAATCACTGAACGGAGAAAACCTAACAACGAAATAAAACAAAAACAGATCAGGCATTTCGGACGGGAGGAGGGGGGAAAACGCGAAGGGCATTGAAAGTAATCATACTCAAATATCACACCAATACACGTCGGAGGCTCTTAAAACGTTTCAAGATTGTCTATCTACCTTCTTTTGAATAAAAACGAGACAGCTTTTGGATCCCAGACATAGTTACATAGTTTACGTCAACTATGTGTTCGGGACAATAGGAGCCCCGAAGTCTATCTTCCTTGTACAAGTGGATTATTCTTCATACAGGTAAACGTTCAATAATTCTAATTCATGATATGTTCCGAGAATTCGTTGTGTTTGGACTAAAAAGAAAACAGAGGGAGTGTCCATATCACCCAACACAATAAGACAGTCATTTTGAATACGTTTTTCGATGTATCAGTTGTATTCAGGGATAAACATATTCATTCACACGGTATGGCATTTCGAATAAGTTTCCACGGTTTGTGAGTTATCGAATAATACAGCATCCATGCACTTGACCCCTTAGTGACATTCCTAATTTCGGTAGTACTAGTGCCGACTAGAAAACGTATTTTAGTTTCTCAAACGAATCTTGGCCTGAAACCAACGTCCCCTAACCTCGCCATTTATCGTTACAATTACCTTGCTGGTGCCCACCAGCGCTGGTCAAGTCGCGTGGTCAAAGGCCATCCCTTCCGAATTAGCCGCACAACCCTACACACACATTTCCACCAACAACAACCACCGTCAGCCAAATCACCGAACACATGCAGTGTGCGTCACCTATCGCCCAACTCGAAAAAAACGAAGAGTATGACAACTGGTCTAATCGACTGACTCACAAATGAACAGATATACGGGCCGAGGGTACACTTGATCCGACATGTTTTCCATACATTCAAACCCAAACGTGATTTACAGCAATAGCGCAGACACAAATGTTCGAATTCGAGCNAATTCGAGCCAATAAAGTGACACGTGAGATTCTCGCGAACAGAGAACGTTTGATAGTACTCAACAATGATTGAACTAGCATGATGGACAATAGAGTGTATTAAAAAGCAAGCAGCTAACCGGCACGAGTGTGTTTCCTGTACGAATTGTGAAAAACGTTATGCGAATCGAGGAAAAAAAGAGGGGAATGTTTGAACCGAAGTAAATCTAGTCCAGTATAACGACGTAAGGTGGATATAATGATAAACAAATCGTTCAATTCGATGAATTTATGAAAGGACCAAGTTGTACCGCAGCCACCCAATATGAACAGGGATTTGTTTGAGTGGAAAATATAATCATCCTTCGGTATATTATGTGAAAAGACATTTAGACTTTATCTTGATTTAATTTGCTTTCTTCTGGATGAACCTGAGAAGTAAATTTTTTCCCCAGTGTTGAATATATGCATATCACGAATCAGCTAGTCTACCTAAGACCTACCCACGATTTCTGTGGGTACATTTCGCCTTGTATACATGATCAATTAGACCGCTTCTATCCAGTCGTTAGACTATCTAGCAGAAGCTAGGAAGTCGATTTGGCACACAGGAACAAGAACTCGATCGTGAATTTTCTCCAATGCACGCAATTAACGGAGGCTAGAGGTCTTGTACCGCCAGTCGCGCAGGGTCAGAAATCGTGTGTTAGGGGTCTCAAATTACTATGTTCATTCGTTTCTAACCGGATTCTAACCGGATTACGTAACGAGAAGAATGCCCAAGACTATTGATAGTAAAGATTGCGTGACTGATGTGAACTCGTATTCGCTCCACAATACCACCACCACCGCCGCCGCAAATGTTTTGTCATTTGGTTATGTATGGACCAACAATAACAACAACAACAGCAGCAACAACAAAAACAATAACAACTTTTGCTGTGTAGACAATTAGGTAATGTGCGCAAAGATACTTTGTCGTAAAATAGCTAGTTAAGCTTGGCCGAGTTTATTCCGACCAATAAGGCTGAATGAAGTGGATGAAAGAGATTAATTCCATCCACTGCTACTGCTGCGGCAACCAACATGGGAGCCGTGTGACTGAGATTCAGGAATGTCCAAATAAATGAAAATGTATAGAATGGTGTCGATACTCTAAAATCGTGAGCGAGGTGAGTGAGTAGACTGTCGATTTCTTGCGTAGCTAGTTTTTGACGATACTACCTCATTTGGACGACAAGGTGGTAGTCCTAAAATCAAAATCGTTCTGCTCCTTCACGTATCTGAATGACAATCAGTTAAAGCGATGGCACTGTGAGGCGCGTAATTCTAGGGTGATGAGACTAGGATAGCCACAAAACCATTTTTCCGCCGCACGGGAGGCCGCTACAAACAAACTGACGGTCAAACATCTGCCAGTAACAGCGCCTCAAACCGTGTAAATCACTGCCATCAAAAGAGACAAGATCCTACTCGATTGTTACTGGGGTGTCCGATTTGGCACTGGCTTTCATGGTGGCTACATGGAAACAAGCTAAACAGTTGTGCGGAAGCCAAAACTACAGATTTTTTTGTAATCGAATCGGTATGCGGCTACTTTGCGTTGCCGAAAATATCAGTAATCGGGAAATTACACATGCTCAAAATGTTCTACACGTAATCGTATTACGGTCAACAGTAATCTGGAACAGAATAAAGAGTAAATCAAATTCCAACTTCGTACCGATTCCCGGACCGTGTCATGTGATGTGAATCAACACATTTCGGGGTGTTTGCAAAGCACAGTTTAACTTCAGGCCAACCATGGAGAGCATGATCATGGATGGAACAGTGATCAGTAGCAGAGGTGAATGGCTCCTTGACAAGCGAAACACGATGAACAGTTTTAACCGATAGGGTAAATTCACCAAACCAATCGCCATTTTCGTAAGCGTTTTGGGACGGAGATAGATCAGATCAATGTAAAAATGCATCATCACACTGAGATTAAAAGCAATCTAATCGAGAGAGGGAAAAAAATGCTTAGATCGAAGAAAGGCAGGATTTGTACAAAGTAGAAACACAGGCGAATAAGAATGAAGAAGAAGAAAACTAATTGGAGACGGTAGTACTCTCCAAACCTGTATCAAGCTGATCACCACCCACCGAACCCCGGTCAGTGATTTTGATGGACACAGAGCACGACTAACTCAGTAAAACATCTTTACCGGATATAGCTGAGTATTTTGCATGACCAGCTGTTGAACGCTTGTCAGTATGTTTCATTCAAATCAAAAGACATACCAGTGTGGTCAATATGTGACCGTCTGCGACCCAAGCAACCAGTGTGCTGTTTGGGATAATCATACATTTGGTTCAACATCTTGCATGCTGCAGTCCAACTCAGGTCATTTCGTGATCAAAGTGGCAGGGAAGCATCAAGTGTTTGCAGTTCAAACAGGGAGATGAATTAGAATGCCGGAGGGTATAGTCGACCGATGTTTAGGTAACACATGAACTCAACCATGCAACGAAATCTTAAAAATAGGGAGGAAACTGCATAATAATCATTTTTGTTGTGCCATTATTACTGCAAAATATTGATCTATCATTTTTTCCCCTTCGAATTCTGATAATCACCGATGGAAGGATGCGAAGAACAGCAATTTCAAAGTATCCGGAATTTTATCCGACTAAACAAATAAACAGTGAAACTACGGTCTGTTTGGGAATACGTTTTCAATTTGAACCCAGACGGGTGCTCACTGGCACAGTTCGATCCTATTTATACACAAATGAAATGGTTCCAGATACGGCAAAGACGAAACAAGTTAACCAGTTCGAACAACGGGACCGGAACCTTTTGTCAACCGCGACAAACAGGATAGTCCGAGCGTACAGATAGCGGATGAGTGTCATGCTGCTGACATCAACTCAATCAGTTCGCCGGTAGCCTGACTGGTCACGTGTGGGACGTACAGCCATGCACGAATTCAGGTTCGACGGATCACAATTGCGGGAAAAACAAGCAGTGTGGACTATTCCGAACAGGCCGCATGAAATAGTGGCACTGTGTGTGTGAACAGTTTTCCTGTATCCCTTCCAGAGTACACCAATGAACAATATAACAAACAGAATTCTATCGAGTGAAGGAAATAATAAATTGGTGGGGAATGATCGACAACCAGCACTCCGCGTCCCCACAACACCACTTTCAACTATTTTTGTATACCCTTCGATTCGCAAAGAAAACGGTCTATCGAAAATGGGCCAAGATGAGAAGAGTCATGCGAGATTTCGATTTCATATACGCGGCAAATCACCGACTTGAAAAGTTTCAATCTATCTGAAATATAACATAATTTGTTAGAATTAAAACGTTTATGATATACATAGGTTGACACACACACACACACACGCACACACAGTCACGTTGCCAAGTTCAATTGTTTAAAATGCGCAAGCACGCTGATGCAATACGAATAAACGGATTGGGAGAGGGAGGGAGGGCTAGAAGACGGAAGTACTTCCGTTGTTTTGGACAAATGGCGGTAGGGACGCGGGAGGGAGCAGTTCCTGAACGCAGACCGTGGTGTGGCAAACAATTTTAACTTGATGGAGTACAAAAACAAATTGAGCCCGTATAACATGCTAGCCATACTACAGAAAACTGGCGAGATAGAGAGAGCACAAGACAGATAGCTAAAAACAGTTTGCGCGCAAGCGAAAACAGGAGTACGGCGTCACTTTCGATATGAAGTACACGTATGCACGCTTGTCTATACAGTTGTGTGTGTGTGCGGGCGGGCGGGCGTGTATGCACGAGCATATAAAGATATTGTTTATTTGCCCGGTAGTATAATCATACCTGAAGGAGAGGAGGAACAGAAAAGGAGAACAAGTGGACAAAATAATCTAGTAATGTTCCGAGAAGTTGCGAAGCACAGATCCCCCGCAACGAACTCGTGTGAAAAGGTAAAATCACAGGGTCGCACAAGATGGATCACCGGTCACTGGGTTGTATCTAAGCGTTTGCACAGTGCAGTTCAGTGGACCATTGATAAACGGTCAGTCACGTTGATTCGTGGCCCGACATTCTCTAATTTCCACCTATATGGATTCCTTGAAAGGTAGAACGCACGTGTGCACCAGTGATCCTGGGTAACGATGTGTAAACCCGTATATTTTGGCTTCTCGACTCAATAATGTTCCGGGCAGAGAAGGTTGAAAGTGTTTTAGCAGTCACGATCAGAATAGAACTGAATAGTGCACAAACCTCGGAGCAACTGAAATCACTCAGTCGATACAAATTACAGTGGCTTGTGCTATAAGCGAAGTGGAGGTCACCGTGTCATTTCTTCTAAACAGCAGAGAAATGTTGAATTTTCGAAGGGAACTTCATGATGGCCTGTTAAATACGCACCACTAACCATCAGTAGCACAATTATGTCAACCCAAAGCAGACAAACTGTGATACAAAAAAGGGAATGAAGAAGACCCCTATCGAGGTTACATGTTTCACTCACGGAGAGAATTTGAGGGTCAGGACACACATCTCCCGATTGGAGCCATCTCGTTCGGTAGGACATCGTTCGAGCTCCGTCTGCGAACACTTGACCGGTGGAACTCCCGGCAGGCCGTTTGAGTAAGCACTGTTTGCTTCTTGTGCACTGGAATCGGGAATCGCTCAAAGTCTGACCGGGAACAGACCACATGCACCAACCACAACCGAATCGGGTGGGTAAAGCCAAGCATTCGTCACAGTGTTTGGCCAATAATTCACACGAGTATACCTCAACTGAGAGAGAGAAGGAGAGCAAAAGCAACACGACGATGATAATCATAATATAAATATGATTACAAGAAGATATTTGGGGAACGACACAACACACACACACCTTTCACATCATCCTCATTGATCATCCGATGTCCCTCTCGATTGCGCAAATCGTGTCCGTGCCAATACAGATTCAGACTGCAATTGATCCCGGTCGCCGGGGCTGGAGTTCGATCTCGTTCCCGATCTGGTTGGAGATCAGCGATACGATGATGCAAACCGCTGAGCTCTTTGGTCACATTGATCTAAAAGAAGAGACAGGAGACGGGTGGAGTGGAGACGGTAGAAGCGAAACTGCTCATGAAGGGTTCTAGTCAGTATGTAATAATACATTCTTTTAAGCATGATACCCATCAGGCGAATAATGCGTGACGCCGTTTAAGTGAGTCAATGCATAAACGAATGCACAAATGGAAACTCCCTAAGGAAGCAGGTTGAACAAAAGCACAGACTACTTAAATGCTCATAAAACGTGTACGAATGTAGGCATAAATCGCATGCCATTGGAGACAGGGCCAAACAGAATGCATAGTATACACGACCGCTGTTGGAACACAAACAAATTATTTTATCATTCCCCACTCCCANCCTCGCCTGATGGGTGACTAGACGCACTGACAGATATGGCTGAGTATCATAAAGAGTGAAGCGCGTGCATCTACTTAGATTCTTTCCAATTTGATTCTATCTAAATTCTTTCTGTCCACTTCGATGCTACTTCCGGTATTGTTCTCTCCGCTGATTCATCTAAATGGGCAGTCAAAAGACAGCTATCAAAACTGCCGTGAGGGATTTATTGACCGCATAGACTTAGTTGAACTTTTCTAAATCGACCGATCAGCAGCATAACCCTTTTTCGGGAGTACTGAACAATATTGCAAAATCAGAGGCGATATGATCCTACGGTATCGGATTTTCCAACAGCCGAATCATCCATGTAGATCTCGTTTGGTTCTATCAACCAATGTTCATCTCAGAGGGTATCCACTGAAGTTGGCACTCCAAAAGAGCCGTCTCGATTGCAGACACCATTCGTTTGAAGTCAGAGTGTGCAACACATGGAACTCTCTGCCACCTCACGTGGTCTGTGCGCCAAACTTAGTATCTTTCAAGCGTCAGCTTGATGATGCTCTGGCAAACATCCAACTACATAATGTATTCTCCTGTGCTCGTCAAAAACATTACATTACTATTTTACTTACATGGACTAACTGTGACCTTGTGAATCGTGTTCCGAAACAAAGTGTAAACACCCTAAGGGATTTAATAAGCGAAATCTTTGTGAGTTTTTCCCATAATAAAAATTTGAAATTTGAATTTGAATTAGATTGAATGCAGATGTTCCTTCTGTTGTATCAAATTTACAGATACCTATCGGACCAAACCGTTCGTCACCACAATCCATAAACAGGGCGCGAATCTCAGGTATCATGAAGCCAAATTGTGAGGACTAGCCGTTCCCGTATGATTCGTGTTCGTCCCGGTAATTCGCTTTGAATTTCTACATTCAAGATGCCTACATCACCCGAAACTACTAAACTGAGATGACGAGTGAGAAGTGGATTCAGGGTTCTCACATTACTGATTAAATGGATAGAAACACCAGCAGTGATCTTGAACTAGCTGCAGAGACTTGAAAAACGTGGCCCACGGTTAACCACATTTAATACTCTGAGCCCATAGTGAGAGAAATAGGTTCGTATTTGTACGGGGTGGGGGAAAAAACCAATCGTATCAAAAAACCATGTAGGTATGCACAGACTGACAGGAATATTGATCAGAGTAACCAGTTCACATAAGTTTTTGAGGGGACAACCAATATACATAATGCAGCATATCGTTTGATTAACGCAAAAAATCGTTCGAAGATTAGACTAAGCTACTGGGATCTTAAGTAATCAATTCTGCGAAACGCGTCGCCTTGCTCCACGCGTTCGAGCGACTCGACTGTTCAGCAAAACCGCGGCTGCGCGCTATAGCACGTACGATAATTCGGTGGAACTTCAGAACGCACAACACATCTGGACTGGACTTTGTCGAAGAAAGTTGTTACCTCCCGAAGTTGTATATTCGCACGGGGGTGTGCATCATCGAGCCAAAAGTTTACAGAGGTAAGAAAAAAGAGAAGTGTGACGAATATCCTCCAGTGAAGATCTTAACAAGTCACACATCCCACTGACTGACAACAAGTGAACACCTTCAGTCATACTCGAAACTCATGCGCAGGAGTGAAGCATCCTGCATGAAAGCGACTGTCGATCGTTGTTGATGGTGGAATAAAAACGTCTTGTGGCTGTCGCGAATCGTGGGAGCCGTACGCCCAAGTCAAGATCAAAGAACGAGTGACTATTACGAGTAGGCCGCAAAACGGAGACATCAACGGTGTCACGAAGGTGAGAAATTTAAGGTCCAGTTGAATGTTACAGTTCGTGCAGAGATTTTCACATAGTTCCGTGTGATTCGGGAAAAACTCAGTCGAAAAGTCGTACCAGGTTAATCTGAATATCCAAAGAGACCACACACACCCAAAAGAAACGAAATGAAACGAACCGTCAGATTGCGACAAATCACAACCGATTTTTCCGAATCGTAGAATGGGATTACGCGTTGTCCATTGCATCCCTCTTCACAAGTGAAATGCTGCAATGGCCTCTGAAAAGGAGGCCAAGTAAAACCAAAAGGGGAAACAGGAAACAGGATTCTGGATCAGTACGCATGTGTGTGTGTGTGTGTGCGTGGTGAAACAATTCCATTTACCAAGGGATTAACTTGACCCATAGATAATGGGTGATAAAGTATTCACTTAGAACAGTAAAGTTATATAAAATCATCTCATTGATAAAATTGAGATTTTATTGAAAATTATCTCTCCACAAGAGCAACCAATGTTTTGCTGCGGACTCTACTTGAGATTCTTCAACCGGTTATGCTATTTTCATTGGTGAATCTAGCTTTAATTACTACGTCAGAGCTGCTTATTTGCGTGGTCCAAAGACGATGACAAGCCGATTAAATATTACATCAAACCTCGGCATTTGCCATTGCCTGTACCGGAATGTTGCGGTCCCACCCGAACCTATTCATAACGGTTGGCCCAACTGCCTTTGCTCGTCCTATAGTTTGTGGGCACCGACTTGACCATCCTCAGCTGCTTTTGTAGAAGACTAAATGGGGCCGCCCGACTCCCTGTCTATTCTGGTCAGTCCAGAACAAACCCCAAATACATGTCTTCGCACTTCCGGAATCTGATGCCCACAAATTCCAAATCACAATGACTGTCTTGCAACTCGTTATTACTACACCTTACTTCTAGACATACGCGTAAAATTATGTCAAGCGGACACATTTATTATTCATCAAAAAACCAAATTCCGTTATCGACCTACCAAACAGTCTTTTTCTTCCGGTGAAAATTACCGCGCAACAATGAAGAAATTTCAATACAAAGCTGATAATGAATTATTTTTCCTAATAACGTACTCCTCCCATCTGACAAATCTTGCACCACAACGGCGAAACCAAGTTTCGGAGGTGATGATGCGACATTGAATGCGATCAATCATTTACTCGAAACCAGTTCTGTGTACTGGAGAGGGGGTTGAAGACACGGGTGATACGACACAGAAACTGATCGACAGATTCATCCTGGCCTAGCATGCAAGAAACACCAGACTGTGGTTGGTTGTGCTGAGAATGTTTCCAGCAGAAGCTTTATCGAACGAATCGAATGTGGAAACACCGCAACCGTGGTAAAAAGAAAATTTCTCCAGGAAGTTGAACCAACAAGAGGAATTCCCAAACAGATGGGAATTACAGACATCTGATCGTGTCGAGAAATGGTGCGGATCAACGAGGTTGGAGTTGGTAACGGTACAAAAGTCAATCATGCTAGGTAGATGAGCCGAAGAATTAGCTGTTCTGAAAATTACTTCACCGCGAGTGACCATGGACATCTTAAAAGCAGAGTAAATCTTATAATCTGTAGATTTCAACCAGGTCACCGCCACTCAACTTTGGCGGTATACAGCTTTGCTATAGTCCAGCTCAGTACCACGTCTAAACTAGCGGGGTCTTATGCAATCCGCCAATTCAAGTCCCGGGGCTTAGATTGCCGGTTTCCATCACTGAAGAGCAGGTGGCCGCGATTATAAGGTCTACCATGAGTGCAGTTCATCATACACAGAAATGTGTGCAATATAAAAGTGTTCAGATTTAATGTGCTTGAAGTCAGACATAGTTAAGGAATGCACCGTCAAACATTTACTGATAGGTGAACACATTCATCGATATTTTTCTTGGGCATATTAAACGGTTGAGAGCTGAACTATAAAGTCAGCTACTTCATAAGAACATACTGAGCTGCCGTTTGACCAGTGTAATCAAAAAGGGCCAGATAAGAATGAGCTCATGGCTATTTGTTTTTAGGAGACATCGAGCTCGGACATAGTTTTAAATCCATGCAAACGATTCGAATATATTTGAATGTGGGCAGCCTTGGGGCATTGAGAATTACGATGAGATGGATGCAGAAACAAATAAACCATAAATTTGACTGTAATCCATCGGCGGAATCACCCGAGGACGTAGGTGGGTACGGGTTGCTTCACCTGATTGGGAAAGTAATCAGTTTTCACCTCTATGTAAAGCTAGTTTACTTGTTTAGATTTTGCTTTGTGGCCGAAGAGAAAGCACATCAATCTGTTCTCTTGGTATTTTAGCATCACGTACACTCCAGTGGGACCGTGGAAGTCCTTCTTCGTCAAAATAAGCTACCCGGAGGACATTTTCCATTTCGCAATTTAATCTTTTTCTACCACGACCCTCGGACAGTTCTGGAATTGACGTGACAGACCACCAGCGAGAGTTCGCAAACCGATCGTGGATGGGTTTGAACAAACTCTCGAAGTTTGTCATTCGTAGCACTGTTGAGATTCGCACTATTACTTGGCGAATTTTCTCTTCGTACAAAAACCGTTAGAAAATGAGTTGGACAGACACACAAATTTATTTGTAAACAGTGGAAACACCAATGGAAATGAGCGTACCCGTGTTTGTTAATTTGAAAAGTTGGCAGGTGCGAACTGTTGACTGACACTGGGAGTTATGTTTTCGTGATTATTCAATACCAGGATCAACCAATAAAAGCTGCTGACTACGGGGTTACACTAATGCTTGGGATAAAAATTTCGAACTCCCCATTGATCTATCAACAGTCTTGTATTTCGTACGTTATTTGAGTACCAACATTCTATTTCATTTTTTATCTACAGCATCCATCAAGTAGGACAATTTGTCTTCTGCTGCAGACCAGATGATTTACCCCCAGCCCTCTTCAAATTTGATGCTGCTTCTCTAACTGGGGTAATCACCTCCATTGTAAATGAATCTCTTTACACTTCTATTATTCCCAACTGTTGGAGGCCGACCACAATCATACCAATCCCCCAAGGCATCCAAATCCTCTATCCTCTCCAAACGTACTCATCCCATAGCGTTAACATCTTTAGCTCATAAATTAACTGAAAACGCCTTCAGCAGTCTACGAACATTCCCAGTGATCCGTTTAAGTTTGTTTACAAGCCTAATAGATCCGTCTTGGATGCAGTCACCACCCTCCTTCATATCATCACTAAATATTTGAACAGCTCTGTTCGGTGTGCTTTTCTGGAATACTCTTCTGCATTTGATTCCAGTCCTAGATCAAAGGTGCTACAAAAAATGGAATCGTTTGAATGCCCCAAGTAATTTTTAGCTGGGTTATCCAACTATTTTACTGATAGAGTGCAAACCGCTAGATTGGGGAAGGCTTCATCTAAACCCTTAGTCAACGACTCCGGAGTTCTTCAAGGAGCTTTGCTATAAACATGTTTTTTCCCGTTTAATGTGTTTGGTTTTAAACTGAAATCTAGGCTCCAGCGCTCGTAAAAGTTGCACACAATATAACTTAATAAAAATAAAAGGTGAATAATAGCATCATTCTGCTGCACACCCGAGCATAAGACGATTGGATCATAACCCAAAGCAGGATCACAGTATATTGGTTTTAATTTCCTCCCTCACCTCACCTTGGATAAGCGCACGAAACAAATGGATCTAAGGAAGATATTTGCAAACACTGTGTCCAGAACGTACGCGATGTCCGATAGAGTTCGAAATCGAGGTGCAGGGTAAAAAATACCGATACATAAAATTCGAAGCGCTTTGTGATTGACATAGCGTTCAGTGGTCCTTATCATCCGTCTGATTAGATCCTCTTGTGTGATGGAGAAGATAGCAGAACGTTTTGGCCAAATGAACTGATCACACGGACTTCTGGTCGTGATCAATAGCGAGACAAGTCCTAATGGTGGTCGTCTAGGACAAGGTTTAGGCATAACCATAGGATTGTTCTCTCATTAAATGAAATTGGTGTATCAAGAGCGAATCACGGGCATTTCCCTCATTGAACTTCGAGACCGACTTGAATCAATCCTCATGCAGATAACGTTAACAGAATGTCGCCATCATCTTCTACCTACTCAAACAAAGCGATACACCTTGTCCAATTGGGGTAGGAAACTCGATTTGGTGACCTAAAGGACTTGTGGTACATACAAAACTGGACTGAATGAAGGAAATACAGAGCACCAGTGCGACAGGGAGTGTGTCCCTTGGATGTGCACAGATGGTGCAACTCACCTTGACGTTGAACACTTGAAAAGTCACATCTAGGGGAGTGCCGCTCATCAGAGTGATTTGTTGGCCGTCATTCTTGAAACGGGGACATTCATTGAACTGTAAGATGTATGTATGGGAGCGTGGATACGTGTGACAACATGAGGAACGCGGTTGGCGGCGGAGGGGGAGAGGATAAAGCAAAGTGTGGAATTAATGGGGAACTAACTCAAACGCGAATAAACCACACAAGAACAGGCGGTTAGTCATGCACAGTCAGTCCATATGACGAGCAGAATGAGTGACAAAGTTTATTATACACACACACACACACACACAAACACACACAATATTGAACCAAATCCGCTTCATATATGTGACGATGATGAGTCAAATAGGAGCTGACTAGTTCTGACCTCATTCATCTTTAAGGTGATACAATGGGTGAATTGAGGCACCGGTAGAATCAGGCTAGGCCGGGTAGAGCGATATGCAAAACAAACTTATTCCACATTTAACTGGTTAACATTACCACTGCTACCAGAGTTTTGTATCGACGTAAAATAGGCAGATCCCAAAGCAGGAAGACGTTAGACGATGTAAAAGCGATAGTAACCACGGATCCACAATAATAATAATAATAATATAACGGTTTGGGAGATTATATTCGTTTATGAAAGTGTGCTCATCATGCAGATTCAACGTTGCACACACACGACATGGTTGTTTTACCGACTCAGCAGAAATCATCAGGATCCGAGTCCCACTGGACTCGAAACCAGAAATTCACGTAAAAAGTTATTGAAACCGAGTATGACTGTTACTGAATTGCCTTAATGTCACTGTGTACTTGGATACGAACTCTTTGTTGGCCCAGGTGTATTGCCATCCAGTAAACCCTGAGTAACCTGCAGTCACATTTTAGTAAGCCTGAAGTTGGGCCTTGTGCATTAGCAATTACCGTATTTACTCCATACTGTTGGTCCAAACATGTTTTCTTATTCTACCGAAATCCTTGAACGGAAGGCGTGTCCTGCATTAACCACCAGGGCAGTTCCACTCATTCTATTTCATTGAAGTCAGAAGCTGAATTGTTAGAACACCGGACAACTTTCTGATTTGGAGAAGAGGAATGAGTCTCGATGTGGCGTAAGAATCACTGATTACAACGGTTTCCAATCAGCGGATTGGGGGAAACGATGTGTCGACGTTATAGGGAGTAAATTTCCGCTTGAATGGTGTACGAGACGACCAACCGTCAGTGGATCGTCCAATTCATTTATCCTATTATCCGGGTCAATCGAAAAGTCGGGATGGCTAATTTCGGGAATGGATCAGTTTACTCCTATCCAAACATCAGACTATCAATAGTGCCTGGTGCCTCTTAACAATCGAACGGGCTAATCCAAGCTTGCTACCGTAAAGTTAGACTATCCTCTTATATTGTCTGCCAAAACAGAACAATCTGAACAAACAAGTCCGCATGAAAGTTCGTTCGGTGGAATCCAGGGGAAAACCATCATGAATGACATAAATGCTAATTGGTGGATCCATTTTCGATGCATCCCCAAAAGTTGGATGGATGATGTGAATGGGAAAAATCAGTGTAGTGGTGACGGTGTGGTCACGCAGCTGCTCAGTTGACAGATCGTGTGCTATCTGAAAGCACAGGCGGTAGCTACGGGTGGATTCAAATCCCATAAATCTGTACAAAATTCCGATTCCAATGCGACATACAAAATATCAGACGGTGTAATCCGTTATCTGTCACAATATGTTAGTATTTTGGGATAAAGGTAATCAATTGATGGTGAAATATGCTGCATTTATCTGGCCCGAGAAGTACATACATATTTTTATCAATCACAGCAGTCTACCATTCATCCTGCAGGAGAATGATAATTTTATCGTAATTTATTGTTGATAAATAAATGAATGATCTGGCAATGGAAAAGATAAGAACGTGAAAAGATCCGGGTATAAATTATCACAATAAAAACATACTAGTTTGATAGTGGACGAGTTCAAGTTGAGAATGACTGATTCGAGGATAAATTATCACTAGCAGGAAAACGATCATGGCCTGGACGAGATTCAGCGGCATTCAGACAGTTGAGAAATAGTCAGCCAGTTGCATCGCGAAACGAGTATGATGAATATAAATGGCGTTCTGGGCCCCTAGGGTTTGGGTTTCGAACCCTTCTACCACCACCCAGAGTAGACGCCTCCTTCGTCCAGCTGAATACCGCACTATGCTAATGGAGCATTTTGTGTTTCATCGCACCGAGTCCCTGGACTTAAGTTGCCGGTTTCTCATAGGTGAACAGTACGTCCTCGTGACCAGGAGGTACACTCCTTCTACTAGTCATCACACAGCAGTGTGTACAAAAGCCAAAGCACGGAAGAATGGAGATAATCCATCTGATGATTATACTATTCTTAGTTCACATTTTTATAATTTGTCCACCTATGAATATGATATACCTTGCGCGAACCATGATCGATCGGTTTTGTCAGCGTGGAATCGGATGAGGGAAGGCGAGCTGTGTCATATTATCGGACCCAAGTCATAAGCATGCAAAATGTCCGAAACGAAGGCAAGGATATTTATGCGAAATCAGTCGGGGTTTATCAAATGAGAGTTTCTATCGGCCATTGTCAATACGACCGAAACAGATGAAAAGCTAAATATGAGAATCATAAAAGTGTGGTAAATAATGCTAAATTTGTGATTCGCTAATCCCAAGTCCGTGCAATTGATCGATACTCACATGACCAGGTTCAACAATGAGCGGAGCGGCATCGTCCGCACCGGGCAGAGTAGTGGTACCCGAAAAAACAGTATTCGACCCGGAACACGAGTGTGTCACATCATGCACCCCAGGCGGACGGGGTACACAGCGATCGTCCAGGAGACACCAAGCGCAACTGAAACGGCTTTGAGTACAAGCACGACAATCGGACAGTTGAGCACAGTCATAAATGGCAAACAGGCCGGGGGCAATGGAAGAGTACGAATCACGCTTGGCACCATTATTTTTGTTCCCGGTCGGTGTGAACCAATCGAGCCACAGAATTAGCAGAAATGCAGCTTCGAATCCGAATGAATTGACAAGAGCGAAACGTTTGGAAGAGAAACGAAAGAATAAATAGGCAGATTGTTATTGAACAACCGGACACCTACCTAACCATGTCAACATCAAAATGGCCATACACATTTCTCGGCGGAAACCTCACGTGCATTGTCATTGTGAAAACCATGTGAGGAAATGTTTTCAGATGAGCTGAAAAACAAGGTGCACATGAACTAGCCCCCGGAATATCCTGAGCGCATGAGTCACCCTGGAAATATGCACCTATCTCTAAGAGTCCAAAGTACTGGGCATCGATTTCCAATAAACTTTGGGTGTTAAAGGCCATTTGTTCTAATTGAAGCAAGCTGACAGTAATGTGATCGCGACTAACTATTCAACTGTTTATCACAAACAAGTTTGCATCCCGATTTGTTTGTTTGCTTCACAGTCTGGATTCGAACAAGTTTAAAGCATGGAACTATGAAACAGAATGGCACTTTGTGTTACGCAGATTGTATTTCCTCGGAAATAGAGGTGAGCGCGACGAGGTCGGATCTGGAGTCCCGCTCAACGAACAAAAGCAACCGTCACCTTAATCGTTCTGTTTAGCGAAACAAATAAGATATAGTCTAATGACAAAGCCATGATCAGAAATGTGACGATAGCATTAGAGCAATAACAATCGTAGCCTCTCAGTTAAAATTGCTCATAAAAGGACAACGAAACAAATCTGGTGGAATGTTGACGGATAGATGAACACTGCAAAACCATAGTAGGATCGGAGTTGCATACCTTGTCTCTTGGGCAATGAGGGTAATTTATGAATCAGAGGGGGTTCGCAGTGTACCTCCAAAGTGCCGTTTGGACTGAATACCGGACGAGCTGGACTGGTGGCCAACACCGGTCCCGGTCGAATGTTGACTAGGAGTGAATGTGTCTGCTCCGCGGGTAACCACAAACCGGAAAGTAGTGATGGAGAAGACCGCGTCCAACTGTCCGGTGCGGCTCGGAACGCGCAGACCAGCTGACGCGGTTCAAATGGAACGCTACCCGGAGGCCAATGTGAACTGGATTCGTTGAACGCGAACGCACGAAACCGAGGGTCATTGGCTAGACTATCGTCTGGACGAAGAACCACCGATGAGATCGGATTCATAGTCGAATAGGGTTGACCGAATTGGGGACTTGCGACAGAACGTCCCAGTATACCGGGTGGGGAAATTTCACGAATTGTAGGACACCTGAAATGAACGCCCCAAGAGAAGCGAAACAATTTTTTTGAAAAAATGAGTGTTGGTCATTCTATCTAAACAGTTGCAGTTGAAATTTTACTCTTTATTTAGCAGTAAATTCATTCGAACGAGAATTGTCAAATGAGAAAAGCTGATGGTCGAACAGGCACGTTCCATAAAGGCATTCGAATGATGGGAACAAGCATCGAGTCATTGTGACAAGCGATTGTCAGAGAAGCATTTGGGGACTAACACAGTTCGCACACAAGCCTCATAAAGAGAGCAGCATTGTTCAGTGATCGAGTCGGAATGCAGTACTGATTGAGCTAATCGTTGATACTCTCGGTCTTCTGGTGTCAGAAACAACAGGAAAGAGAGATACCATAACTACAGACGAGGGATTGAGATCCGATGCATAAAACAAGAATCCGGAGACAACGCTATACCCAACTGATTACCCAGACAATTCAATTAGTGAATATGTGCTCCTCATTCCATAGTGTCTTGGTATTTGTACTCATCACTTATGCTCGTTGGAATGATATTACTATGATTAAACGGTCACAATAGACACCATACACCGATTTATGTTTTCACTCAGCCCCCGTCCACAGGACACGCGATTGAGAATAGACTGCTGATACGTGTGTGGTATGAGCTCACTACCGCATAGATGAGAAAAAGAATGGAGAAAGTGGTTCACACAATGTGGCGCCAGACACACTGCGATAAAACTGTGATAGTATTTCACACACACACACACACACACACACACACACACACAAGAGTGCAATCGAGAGTGCATCGAGTTGCACCTTGAGCGAGTTAATGTGTGAAAAAGTTATTTGCTTCCACTGGCAACGTCAGGACAGTCGATAGTTCAGACAGAGATCGGTACGGGGTCGGTAACAGTTCACCGTAAAAGGCACGTATGACCGAGAGACGGGGTGCGTGGTAGTGTAAAAGAGATTAGAAATTTTTCGAACAACCAAATAGAGCACAAATAAATGTCTGAGCGAATAAATGCACTCGTAAACCGGAACGTGCTGATAGACAAAGGTCATGAATGAGTGGATGAGAAGAAACAGACACGGGTACACTTTTGTAGGACGAACTTGATGTCGCGAAACGCGATTCTCGAGTCATTAACTGATTAGACATGGTTTAAGTGACATGAGGATTCTGGTAATCTATTCATCTACACACAAAACACATCTAGTTGGCTGGCTGAAAGAAGTGCGCACATATTCACATACGTGGCTCTATCCATCAATCTCTTACAGGTGTGCACGAATGTGCAAAAAGGTATGTGCGAAGACCAACCAGATCAGATAGCGCAACGGTGCAAACGTGACGGCAGTGGTAGTCAAGTAGTATAGTTCAAGAGGGTGTCGAGTTCAACTTTACTGAGAACACCCACACATACTCAATAAAACGATTCGTAAATGACATGAGTACCAGCCTTGAGAACGGTATGCAAGCCAAAGAATAGATTCACAATGAACAATACTGGAGCATGCCACCCGGATACAAATAAATACCATCCCCCACCCCGGGGGTGATGGGGGCTGATCGACGGAAAAGTGTTGATTTTCACCCAATTCGTTTTTGACTGTATAATACTCCATTCCTCGTAGCACGCAGTTTTATCGAAGAGATTGCACACTGAAGGAATTGTGGGATTCGAACGCTGTAACCCAATGCTGNCCATACACTCCTGACGACAGTTGTGTATTTTTGTTCCTCGAAAGAGAAAACTTTCGGTCAAAGGCTTGTGTACCATCAGTATGCTGCAATCAGCCCAATCGGTATATCGTGGGCCATGATTTTCTGTCCAAACCAACGCGAGCTTAAATGCGGTGAATAATCCTACCACACTACACGTTGAACGCGGTCACAAAGACGAGTGATATAGGTCAAGTATAACTGAATCCAAGTTCGGTGTTGGATGGATGAGAACTGAGCTCGAATGGGATCAAGGTTAGTCGGTAGAATCGCATTACCCAACGCTTCCTACTACATCTCGCAATGCTGTCATTGGTGATGGATCTTATAAAATATTTAAAAATTCCATGAATGTAATCAAATAGGCGAGAGTGTTTTCACGATAGGCGCGTGTAATATGAAAAAAGTAGCTGAGTTGGTACAAAGGAGTAGATACCGAGGCTCCACTGACTGCAACCTGAATAAGTGAACTAAGGCAGAGATTGTTTTGCCACACAGCTGTTAGGACATCTATGAGAAACAGAACGCGATTTAAACGACCAAATCCGTCACACCAGTGGTGCACACTAGGTTATGCATGATCTGACGACACCTATTTCAACCACTGTCTACTNAAACTTATCAGGACACACACGCGTGTAACACACATGCCCCAATTATGACAACCGATCAAGGTCAAATCCTTGCCCCGGTGTCTAACCGATTTCCCCCGTACGTAAATCCCTAAGCAGCAGCACCTGATCGGCTGCACTCCTTTGCAGTCACTTACGAAATTTGTTTGTGTCATCGTATTTCATTGAAATAAAAAAATGGTGTTGAATAGTTAATATGTGCCCTCAAATGTCCCGAGAGAGTTAGGGGGAATTGCTTCGGTAAATGAACTTTTAATCTTACAACCCCCCCCCCCCGCCCAAATAAATTGCTTGAA